TCTCTCCTTCCCTCCCTCCTTTCTTTCCTTCCCTCCTTTCTTCCCTCCCTTCTTTCCTTCCCTCTCTCCTTCCCTCCCTCCTTCCTTCCTGCCTTTCTTTCCCTTCCTTCCTGTCTTTTTTTCTCCCTCCCCCCTTCCTTCCTTCCTTTCTTCCTTATTGCACCAATCCCAGGACTTGAACTCAGGACCTGGGCACTGTCCCTGAGCTCTTTCACTCAAGCCTGGCGCTCTACCCCACGGAGCCATCTACGGCACCACTTCCCGTGTTCTTGGTTACTTCCTTGGAGATGAGAGTCTCACGGACTTCCCTGGCCCGGGCTGGCCTCAAACCACGATCCTCAGACCTCAGCCTCCTGAGGAGCTGGGATGCCAGGCGTGAGCCCCGGCGCTGCTTCCCCCGCAGAGAGCTGTGTGAGCATCTCCCGGGCCCGCACACCAGCCTGCTCCTCGGCGACGCCTACATGAACATCCAGGAGGTGCGGGGCCGGGGGCCGCGGGCGGGGGGCCCTGGCCAAGGCCCCACGGAAGGACGCCCCCACACCCACCTACACCCACGCCCCCCTCCTCCCCTCCGCCAGCCTGAGAAGGCCCTGGAAGTATACGAGGAGGCCTACAAAAAGAACCCCCACGACGCCGGGCTGGTCAGCAGGATCGGACAAGCCTACGTGAAGACTCACCAGTACAGCAAGGTCGGGCCGGCCTGGGCAGGAGGCCGGGAAGGGAGGCTGGGGGAGGGAGGCCGGGGAGGGTGCAAAATGGCTGTTTCTACCCCAGCTCCCTGCTTGAGGAGCTTGCCAAAGACCAAATTCACCTGTCCCTCCCTCCCTCCTTTCCTCCCTCCCTCCTTCTCTCCCTTCCTTCCTTCCTTCTGCCAGTCCTGGGGCTTGAACTCACGGCCTGGGACTGTCCCTGAACTCCCTTTGCTCAAGCCTGGCGCTCTATCCCTTGAGCCACGGCACCACTTCTGGCTTTTTCTGAGTCATCCGTGGGAGATGAGAGTCTCACGGACTTTCCTTCCCTGGGGCTGGCTTCGAACCACGATCCTCCGGATCTCAGCCTCCGTGAGTCCCTAGAATGAAGGGCAGGGGCCCCCGAGGCCCATGACTTTGTCATTCTGTCTTTAACCGAGCCCTGTCCCGGGGACCTGGTCATTCTCAGGGGTCCCCCACCGTCCCCCTAAAGCAAAAACCCCAACATGGTCTCCCTTCCCACCCAGGCGATCAATTACTACGAGGCGGCGCAGAAGATGAGCGGGCAGGACTTCTTGTGCTGCGACCTGGCTGAGCTGTTGCTCAGGCTGAAGAAGTTCAGCAAGGCGGAGAAGGTGCTGAAGCAGGCCCTGGAGCGCGAGTCTGGTAGAGCCGCCCTTGGAACGCATGCGCAGCTTCACCCCGGGGGGCCTCCCCCCCCCACCACTCCCAACAGCGCCCCCCACCCCCTGATGGAGATTCCCTCTCACAGCCAAAGGCCTGGCGCCCATGATGGATCAGGTGAAGTGCTGGCTGATGTTAGCCAAAGTCTACAAGAGCCACAAAAAGGAGGAGGTGGCGGAGACGCTGGGCAAGGTGTGTGCACATGCGCATGCGAGCCGGTCCGGGGACTTGAACTCAGAGCCCAGGCACGCTGGCCCCTTGAGCTTCTCGGTGCTCAAGACTGGTGGTACCTGGGAGATCAGAGGCTCACGGGCTTTCCCCACCATGCACCAGCCTCCAATCGCCATCCTCCAGATCTCAGCCTCCTGAGGATCTGGGATGACAGGCGTGAGGTACCAGCACCCGGCTACAGATTGGCGGGGTTTTCTGCTGGACCCCCAGACCCCCCCACACACACACCTGCTCAGGGCCCGGGTTTACCTCCCCTTGCCACCCCCCTTCCCGCCCCATGACTCTGCCCTGGGATTTAGGGTTCACCAGCCCAGCTGGCTTGTTTTTCGCCAAGGCCTTAGATGTGCAGACCAAGGTGCTAAAGCGGGCCCCAATGGAGCAGCCGGAGATCATCACCACCCAGAAGCAGCTGGCCTCCTCCATCTGCATCCAGTGTGGGGAGCATTATGCAGCGGAGGAGGACTACGCCAAAGCCGTGCGGGCTTACAAGGATGCCCTCTGCTACTCGCCCACTGACAACAAGGTGGGTGACACTTGGGTCCACATGCTGCTCCGCCCACTCAAGAGCCGTTGAGTCTTGGCTCAGAGGTGGAGGCCAGACCTCGCTGAGGGCTTGTCTGGTTTGTGTGTTTACCAGGCCTGGGACTTGAACTCAGGCCCTGGGTGCTGTCCCTCTCGGTGCTCAAGACTGGCGCTCTACCACTTGGAGCCACATGTTCTCCGGTTTTCTGATGATTTTGTGGGAGATAAAGAGGCTCATGGACTTTCCTGACTCGGGCTGGCCTCGATCCATGATCCTCCCAATCTCTGCCTCCTGCGTCACTGGGATGACAGATGTGAGCCACCGGCTCCTGGCCAGCGGTGGAGGTGTGGAGCACCAGCCTTCAGTGGACAAACCTAAGGGACAGCGCCCAGGCCCTGAGTTCAAGCCTTCCTACTGGAGACAAAGAAAACTAAAGAAAAGGAGCCAGGCGCTGTGGCTCCCGCCTGTCATCCTCGCCTTCTCAGGAGGCTGAGATCTGAGGATGGCGGTTCAAAGCCAGCCTGGGCAGGAAAGACCGTGAGACTCCTATCTCCAATAAACCACCAGAAAACCAGAAGTGGCGCTGTAGCTCAAGTGGTAGAGCACCAGCCTTGAGCAGCTGGTGTTGGTTGATTGCATCCAGCCTGGGTACTGAGTGAGTGATTGATTGCATCTGGCCTGGGCAGGTGGTGCTGGAGCTGGCGCGGCTCCATCTGCTGCAGGGAAACCTGGATCTGTGCGAGGACCAGTGCTCCATGCTCCTGCAGACATCACAGGATGACGCGTCCACCTCTGTGGTTAGCGGGGACCCCCTCCCCACCAGCATGGGACCCCAGGACCACACCCAGCGGCTTCCCCTGGGCTGGGGTGGAAGGGAGAGATTATTTCCAGTTGTTCCAGTGGAAGCCCCCAGCTTCCCACTGGGGGGGGGGCTTCTATAGAGAAAAGTCGGGGTGTGGCCCCTGACACCTGCCAGGCCCTTCAGTGGCTAGCGGGCCTGGACCGACTACGAAGCCCAGCTGAGCACAGCAGGTGAAATCAATAGGCTGCAGGGAAGCCACGCCCACTGAGCACAGGGGGTGAAATTGGTTGGCTCAGGGTAAGCCACGCCTACTAATCACAGAGGAAGAAATTGATGGGCTCCAGTGAAGCCACGCCCAGCTGGGGGTGGAGATTGATAGGCTCCAGGAAAGCCACGCCCACTAAGCACAGAAGATGAAATCAATGGGCTCCAGGGAAGCCATGCCCACTGAGCACAGGGGGCGAAATTGATTGGCTCAGGGTAAGCCACGCCCACTAATCACAGAGGATGAAATTGATAGGCTCCAAGAAAGCCACGCCCACTAAGCATAGAAGATGAAATCAATGGGCTCCAGGGAAGCCATGCCCACTGAGCACAGGGGGTGAAATTGATTGGCTCAGGGTAAGCCACGCCCACTAAGCATAGAAGATGAAATCGATGGGCTCCAGGGAAGCCACGCCCACTAGGCACAGGGGGTGAAATTGACAGGATCCAGTGAGGCCACGCCCAGCACTAGGGCTACAATTGATAGGCTCCAGGGAAGCAACGCCCACTACGCTCAGAGGCTGAAATTGATAGGCTCCAGGGAAGCCACACCCACTAAGCACAGAGGGTGAACTTGATTGGCTCAGGGAAAGCCACGCCCACTAATCAGAGGATGAAATTGATAGGCTCTAAGAAAGCCACGCCCACTAAGCACAGAAGATGAAATTGATGAGCTCCAGGGAAGCCACGCCCACCAAGTACAGGGTTGAACTTGATTGGCTCAGGGTAAACCACGCCCACCAAGTACAGGGTTGAACTTGATTGGCTCAGGGTAAACCACGCCCACTAAGCACAGAAGATGAAATTGATGAGCTCCAGGGAAGCCACGCCCACCAAGTACAGGGTTGAACTTGATTGGCTCAGGGTAAACCACGCCTACTAATCAGAAGATGAAATTGATAGGCTCTAGGAAAGCCACACCCACTAAGCACAGAAGATGAAATTGATGGGCTCCAGGGAAGCCACGCCCACCAAGTACAGGGGTGAACTTGATTGGCTCAGGGTAAACCACGCCCACTAATCACAGAGGATGAAATTGATAGGCTCAAGGAAAGCCACGCCCACTAAGCACAGAAGATGAAATCGATGGGCTCCAGGGAAGCCACGCCCACTGAGCACAGGGGTGATGTTGATTGGCTCAGGGTAAACCACACCCACTGAGCACAGAGGATGAAATTGATGGGCTCCAGGGAAGCCACGCCCAGCTGGGGGTGGAGATTGACAGGCTCCAGGAAAGCCACGCCCACTAAGCACAGAAGATGACATTGATGGGCTCCGGGGAAGCCACGCCTACTGAGCCCAGGGGTGATGTGGATTGGCTCAGGGGAGGCCACGCCCACCGCCTGTACCCACTTCCTGCAATCTGGCACCTGTGTGTGTTTCTTTTTTCTCCTTTGCCAGGCCCGGGGCTCGAACTCGGGACCCTGAGCCTTTTCACTTGTGGGCTAGCTCACTACCGCCGGAGCCACAGCACCACATCGGGCTCCTCGGTGTGTGCGCGGGGCTGAGGCTTGGAGCCCGGTGTCCCCCGCAGCTCCCCCAGCCCCCCAGCCCGCCCTGCCTGTCTCCTGACAGATGCTTGCTGACCTGATGTTCCGGAAGCAGAACTACGAAGCAGCCATCGGTCACTACCGCCAGGTCCTGGAGAAGTGTCCAGGTAATCCGGCCTTCCTGAGATCACCACTAGAAGGTCACCCGGGGCCTGGACGCCATCCCTGAGCCTCTTCTGCTCAAGGCGGGCGCTCTACCGCCTGAGCCACAGCGCAGCTCCCAAGTCTGAGAAGAGTCAGGATTTCTCTGCCCCCGGGGGGTTGGCCTCGAACCCCGATCGTCAGGAGTCTGTCTTCTAAGAAAGGCCTGGCCGCCAACCCAGAGCCTGGCGAAAGATCAACTCGGCCTGATTTCTTCTCAGACGACTTCGTGGTATTTAACAAGTTGATCGATCTGCTCCGCCGCAGCGGCAGGCTGGAGGAGGCACCCACCTTCTTCGAGCTGGCCAAGAAGGGGTCCAGCAGGGTAGTACTGGAGCCTGGCTTCAACTACTGCAAGGGTATCTACTACTGGTGAGTGAGCTAGTGGGGGATGGTGGGGGGGAGAGCAGGGGGGAGATGCAGGGGTCTCGCTTTCAGTAAACCAAGAGGAAGCTGGGGGCTGGGGGCTCACACCTGTCATCCCAGCTACTCAGGAGGCTGAAATCAGGAGTATCTCCGTTGGAGGCCAGCCCAAGGCTGGGGAAAGTCCGTGAGACTCATTTCCAGTGAGCCACCCGGAAAACCAGAAGTGGCGCCATCTACAGGGCTCAAAGTGGTAGAGCACCAGCCTTGAGCACAAAGAGGCTCAGGGAAAACCCTGGGTTTTCTTTGTTGGTTGGTTTTGTGCTCATCCTGGGGACTGAATTCAGGGCCTTTCCTCCCACCCCGCTCTTCTCTCTTCTGGCCAATTAATCCTGAGGCTTGAACTCAGGGCCTGGGCGCTGTCCCTGAGCTGCTTTTGCTCAAGGCTGGCGCTCTACCACTTGAGCCACAGCTCCATGTCTGGCTTTTGTGGGGGGGGTGATTTATGGGAGATAATCTCACGGACTTTCCCACCTGGGCTGGCTTTGAAGCGAGATCCTCTAGATCTCAGCCCCCCTGAGCAGCTGGGATGACAGCTCCTGGCCGGACTTAGCCTCTAATTGTGATCCTCCAGGACTCAGCCTCCTGCGAGAATGGCAGACGCGAGCCATGGACGCCGAGGTGTCCCCCGACAGAGACATTGCCTGTCCCCTTCCCATTACATTTGTGGGGTCTTAACTCTCTCCAACTCCAGGCACGTCGGACGGCCAAACGAGGCCTTGAAGTTCCTGAACAAGGCCCGCAAGGATACCACATGGGGTCAGGAGGCCACGGACTACATGGTGCGGATCTGCCTGAACCCCGATGACGAGATCTTGGGGGGAGAGGTGTTCGAGAACACGGGGGCGGAGAGCAAGTAAGGAGGGGGAGAAGGAGGGGCGGGGGAGCCACAGGCCCTGTGGTTGGGCGGCCGCCTACCACAGAGATCCTCAAGCCTGGCAGCCCAGCCGCTCAGGAGGCTGAGATCTGAGGATCACGGTTCAAGGCCAGCCTTGAAAGGTCCAGGGGATCCTTCCCTCCAATAAACCACCAGACATGGAGGCGTGGCTCGAGCGGTAGAGCGCCAGCCTTTGAGCTGAAGAGCTGAGGGACAGCGCCCAGGCCCAGAGTTCAAGCCCCAGGAGTTAAGACTTAGAAGAACGTATCTCAGCAAACCTATGCTGCTATGGCGTCTAGAAATAGCGTGTAACCTACACAGAGTGCACGAGGTGTACAATCCCACGCAACCCTGTGACTCTCGGACACGGGCCGTGTCCAGGATCATGATGCCAGCCTCCCTCCCTCCCTCTCCCCCCCCCCAGGGCTGGGTCCCGGCCTCAAGGGCTGCGCACGGCCGAGCGGTTACTACAGGAATTCCCACCGCCCTCAGACCCGGGCCCTGCACGCTTGCGGCTGCTTCGCGGCTTGTGTCTGTTGCACAGTGGTGCGCGTGCGCAGGTGGAAGCCGCTCTGGTCGCTTTCGTGGAGCTGGCCCAGGCTGAGGTGCGTGCAAAGGGCCTGGGGCTGGCGGAGGGGGGGGCATGTTTCTAATCTTACACCACACCCCCCCCCCCACCCCGGGACAGAAAGAGAATGCAGCAGCACTTCTGGCGCTGGCCCAGGCCTACACGCTGCTGCAGCAGATTCCCAAAGCGCGCACGCAGCTCAAGCGCCTGGCCAGGGCGGTGTGGACCCCGGGGGAAGCAGACGCCCTGGAACGCGCGTGGTTGCTGCTGGCGCATCTGCACTGCACCGCTGGCAAGTTCGATCTGGCCGTTGAGCTGCTCCGGCGCTGCGTGCGCTACAACAAGGCGAGCACCCGGGGGGGGAAAGGGGGGGTGGTGGTGGTCCAGATCTGGGGGGCCAGGGGGAGGGCAGACCCCAGAGCACATCGGGAATCGCGACCACTCGGGAGGCTGAGATCCGGAGGATCGCAGTTCCAAGCCAACTTGGGAGAAGCAAGTCTGTGAGACTCTGATCTCCTGTGAACCAGCAAAAACCACAGGGGGAGCTGTTGGGCAAGCAGTTAAGCACCAGCCTTGAGTAAGGACAGTGGCCCAGGCTCTGAGTTCAAGGCCCAGGACAGGCACAAAAGAAAAGACAGGGCCTGGGGGGGGGAAGGGAGGGTGCTCAGAAGGGGCTCAGTTGAGGGAGACCCCGGATTGAGGGTGCCAAGCCTCTGGGCTTGATGCAAAGGGCTTAACACCAACACCTAACTTTGTGCCACCCCTGGGTCTTGAACTCAGGGCCCAAATGTCCAGACACGGACTTTCCTTGCCCAGGCTGGCTTTGAACCGCGATCCTCCGGATCTCGGCCTCCTGAGTAGCAGGGATGGCAGGCATGAGCCATGCCCTTCCTGTGGGCGAGGGGTTCTGAGTGGCATCCCCCCCCTCCTCCCTGCCTGCTCCCCCCAGTCCTGCGCCAAAGCCTACGAGTACATGGGCTTCATCATGGAGAAGGAGCAGTCTTACAAAGATGCGGCCACCAACTATGAGCTGGCCTGGAAATACAGCCACCACAGCAACCCGGCCATCGGTGAGGGGGGGCAGCCAGCCCGGGGTGGGGGGGGGAGAGGGGGGGCAGGACACAGCTGGGGGGGGTGGAGGTGGGATCTGACCACAGCTGACCCTCCTCTCCCTTGAGCCCGGAACTCAACGTCTGTCCCCTGATGAGCAGAGGTGGGAGGGGAAGACATTGTTGGGTGCACCGGGGCTCGGTGTCCCCTCCAATGCTGCCCCCCCCTTAGGTTTCAAGCTGGCCTTCAACTACCTGAAAGACAAGAAGTTCGTGGAAGCCATCGAGATCTGTCACCATGTGCGTGAGCTGCCTGCTGAGGGTCGGGGGGGGGGGGACTGGGACCCTGGCCTCGGGCTAACCATCACCCCAAGTTCTTCTCTTCCAGGTCCTCTTGCAATACCCCAACTACCCCAAGATCAGAGAAGAGATCCTGGAAAAGGCCCAAGGATCTCTAAGGCCGTAGCTGCCATGATGGACAGCAGTGGGGTGGGGGGAGTTGAAGATTTATGGGAGAAGGGGGGAAAAAAGTGGGGGGGGGCAAAGTGGATCCTCAGAGAATCGAGACGAAGTCCTATTCAGCCACATCACTGTAGTGTCGAGGATTCTTTGGGGGGTTGTGATTTATCTGAGGTGAAGTGGGGGGAAACCCCTTCTTTGAGGAGTGATTTGGGGGGGGAGGGTCAGTTGTGGGTCTTGAACTCGTGGCGCTGGGCCACCTCCAGTTTTCTGGTGGTTCATTGGAGGTGAGAGTCTCACAGACTTTTCCTGCCCGGGGCTGGCCTCGAACTGTGATCCTCAGATCTCAGCCTCCACCTGAGTAGCTGGGAAAACGGGTGTGCGCTTCCCGTGTCCCCACATGAAGCAAATCCTCGTTGTTCTGGGCAGGATGAGAGCTGGAGGGAGCTCCTGAGGCTCCGGCCCAGGCCCCGCTGCCAGGACAGGGTGTGGCCTGTTGTTTTGGCCTCGGGCCCAGGTGGACAGATCGGGCTGGTGCGCATGGAAGCGGTGTTTTTCTCCCAAGTTTCCCAAGTTGGAATCTACCCCCCCTCCCCCCCGCAGTGCTTGCGACTTCCACTCAGCTGTGTGCGCATGCGCGCGCCACACACACACACACACACACACACACACACACTTTGGTACTGGGGCTTGAATCAGGGCCTCTGTGTTGTTTCGTTTTTCCACACAAGGCTGGTGCTCTACCACCTGAGCCACACCACCACTTCTGACTTTTTCTGACTAGTTCATCAGAGATGAGCATCTCATGGACCTTCCTGCCCGGGGCTGGCTTTGAACCGCGATCCTCTTGATCTCAGCTTCCTGAATCACTGGGTTGACAACGCGTGAGCCACCAGCACCCAGATCTGCTCAGCCTCCCTCCCCTGTTATATCTCCAGTGACCCTCTGGGGAGGTATGGGTTAATGCCCCCCCCCAGCCCTGTACCCCCCAATTTACAATTCACCTAGCCTGTTAGCTAGCTAGAAACCTCTTCAGTCTCTCCTGGGGTGAACAGGTGGTGATGATGATGACTTTAATTCATTTTTATTGTGTCCCAAGAGACGCAGGCCTGCCAGGCCCCGCCCTGGAGCACGCGGAGTTTCTTGGCACAGGTGCACAGAGCGCTGAATAAATTAAGGATTCCTGACATGTCACTAGATGAAAAACCACATCAAAACGGGAGCAAAGGGAAAACCAAGACAAATAACATCCAAAATGAAATAAGAAAGCCCTGAAGAGTCACCCCAAAAACCAAGAGGAGGTGGTGGGGAGGGGCCTGGGGTGCTGTTCAGATCATTCCGGGCGGGGCACCGCTGCTCATGCCTGTAATCCCGGCTCCTCCTTGGGAGGCTTGAGATCTGGAGGATCGTGGTTCCAAGCCAGCAGCCCAGGGGCTGGGGAAAGTCCCCAAGGAGCCACCAAGAAGCGGGGGGAAGTGGCACCCCAAGGTAGCTCCCAGTGGTTAAGCGCCAGCCTGGAGCTCGGAGGGGCCCTGAGTTCGAATCCCAGGACTCGACTGGAGGAGAAAAAGACCAAATAAATAAGACAAGTTGCTGGGTTATGTAAAACAGACACAGAAACGGGACACGGGGTGACTAGGCCGGTCGAGGACACAGCTCCTTGTTGGGGGGACCGGGGGCCCCCAAACCACAAAATCCAGCAGCAGTGGGGCGCTGGGCTCGGGGAGGGGGGGCCCCAATGGCGCATCACAGGGGTGCGGGTTCTACGAGGGAGGTGGCCCCGTGATCGAAGGGCAGGGTGGGCTCCGTGGCTGCCGTGGCCGGGTCGGAGAGGCCCAGGAGGGAATCCAGGAAGCCAGGGCTCAGGTCCCCAGGTGTGGGGCCATCTGGGGGGGTGTGGGGGGCCGGGTACCGGGGCCCCAGACTGTAGTCAGGCAGGGCCTGGAGCCAGGCGAGTGAGTCACAGCCCGGCTGGGCCGGGGGAGCCCCGGGGGCGCTGTCCGCATCCAGGTTGGCATTCTCGTCCCAGATCCCCGAGGGGAGATTCGAACTCGCGAAGCTCTGGGGCCAATGGGCCGCGCCGAAGACGTCGTTGAAATGGAAGCAGCTGAGGTGATCCAGGGGGTCTCGGCTGGCGGCCTCCTCCTCCTCCTCCTCCTCCTCTTCCTCACCCCACAGCTCACAGGGCTGGAAGGGGGGCGCAGGGTCATCTCCCTGCGTCTCCCCCAAACTGGACGAGGAAGACGAGGCGGTGGAAGAATCCGTCATGTCGCTGCTGCGGCTGTCCTCCTCCAACTCGCTGCTGGTGCCCCCCGGGAAGGGGGGGAGAAGGGCCTGCTCTCCCAGGCCCGAGGGGTGGCCGCCACCGGGTGCCTCAGTTTCTCCCAGATCGCCGGTGGCGGTGGCCTGCTCCAGCTGCAGCCGGGCGAGGGTGCGCACGAAGTGCGTGTGGACTCGGGCCTGGTTGAACTCCACGCGGCCCTCGGGGTTGGCGCAGCTCTCGCGAGCGCAGCCGCAGGGGAACGACGTGTGGTCCATCTGTGGGGACAAAAGGAGAGCTGGGGGAACAGAGGCCGGGAGCGGCGGCGCACGCCTGTAGTCCCGGCCCGCTCAGGATGCGAGGATCCGAAGGCCCGGATGTGTGAGGTGGCCAGCCGGGGTGGCAAAGTCCGGGGGGGAGGGGGGGGGACACCTGTCACCCGAGGGACCCGGGTGAGGCCACCAGGGCGCTGTCAGGCTAGCTACGTGGGGAGGCTGAGATCCGGAGGATCGCGGTTCAAACCTGGCCTGGGCAGGAAAGTCCGGGAGACCCTCACGGCTAGCAAACCACCAGGAAACCGGAAGTGGCGCCAGATAGATAGATAGATAAGATAGGTCCAAGTGGTAGAGCGCCCGCCTTGGGGAAAAGCAGCTCAGGGGCAGCCCCTGGGCCCTGAGTTCGAGTCCCAGGACTGGAGTGTGCGTACGCATGTGCATGCACACGCTCCTAGGCGCTCACCTGGCACGGGATGCCAGCCAGGCTGCAGCTACAGGTGCGGGGGTCACAGGCATGGATACAGCGGCAGCCACAATCCTCGCGGGCCCGGCGCAAGGCCCGTAGTTCCCGCCTTTCATCCCGGTCGATCCGGCGGACACCGGAGGCCCGGAGCAAGGCCCTGCGCTGGCGGGCGGGACAGGGCTGCAGGAATGCATCGTCCTCCAGGCCGCCCCGGGCCACGGCCTCCTCCAGCGCTTCCTCCACGGCCGCCTCATCCACCATGGGCTCTGGGTTCGAGTCTTCCTCCAGCAGGCCGGCTGCCAGCAGCTGCGTGCAAAAGAGCCGTGAGCTGGGGAATCTTGGGGTTGAGCCAGTGGTGGGGCTTGAACTCAGGGCCTGGGCGCTGTCCCTGAGCTCTTCAGCTCAAGGCGGGCGCTCTACCACTTGAACCACGGCGCCACTTCTGGCTTTTCTGGTGGTTCATGGGAGATCAGAGTCTCACAGACTTGCCTGCCCAGGCTGGCTTTGAACCGCCATCCTCTGGATGAGCACTGGAAGCCAAGCCAGGGTCCAAAAAGCCTATGGGCTTCTCATTTTCCAATCGATTGGCAAAAAGGCAGAAGTGAAGCTGTGGTTCAAGCGGTAGAGCACTGCTGAGCATTGAGGCTCACGCCTGTCAACCCCAGCTCCTCAGGAGGCTGAGATCCGAGGATCCCAGTTAGAGGCCAGCCCAGGGCAGGAAAAGCCGGTGAGACTCAGATTGCCAAGAAACCACTGGACAAAACCAGCCGTGGTGCTGTGGCTCAAGTGGTAGAGCGCCAGCCCAGGCCGTGAGCTCCAGCTCCAGGAATGAGGCTCCTCTTCCCCCAGTCCTCCCTACCTTCTGCCTCTGGGCCTCCATGTTTTCCTCCCGCAGCCTCTGGCGCAGCCTCTCCCGGCGGACCCGGGCCTGCTCCAGGGTGAACTCGGCCAAGGAGAAGCGGCGGGTGGTGGTGTGGTGGGGTGCCATGCCCAGCGTACAGCCGCCCCGTCGGGGGACGCTGGTGAAGCCCTGACACCGGGGGAAGTAGAAGACGGTGACACCCTCAAAGGCCACGCGGCCCGCGCGGCGCTGGGCAGTGCGTCTGAGGATGGAAAGGGCTAGAAGGCCGAGGGGGGGGGGGAGAAAGGGAAGAGGGGAGAGTTACTGGTGTGGGACAGGCAGATCTAGCTACACCCACAAGAACGAGGGGAGGCCGGGGGGGGTGTCGTGGCTCAGGCCTGTCATCCTGGCTTGCTACGCTCGGGGGGAGGCTGAGATCGGAGGATCGTGGTTGGAGGCCAGCCCGGGGGGGGGGGGGGGGGGAAAGTCCGTGAGGCTCTCATCTCCCAGGAGCCAACCGGAAAACCCCCGAGTGGCACCAGCTCTATGGCTCCAAGGGGGAACAGCGCCAGCCTGGAGTGCCGGAGAGGCTCTCGGCCACAGCGCCCAGGCCCTGAGTTCAAGTCCCGCAGCTGACCAAAAAGGGAGAGAGAGGGGGAGCGAGGGGTATGGAGGTTTCCAGGGAAGAGAGCTGACTTACGGGTAGAACTTTTGGGGCTGCACGAATCCTGTCCGGGCTGGGGTCCCCGAACCCACGGCTCCTCGTCAGACCCCCAGGGAGGGGAAGTGGAGGACGTGGAGGAGCAGGAAGGCGGCGAGACGCAGCCGGAGGAGGAGGAGGAGGAGGAGGAGCAAGAGGAGGGGTCCCCCTCTTCTTCTAACTGGTAGAATTTCCTCTTCATGGCGGCGCAGGGAGGCAGAAATCTCCTCAGCGGCTGGGGCTAGGGGGAGATGGGGGTCGGGGACAGGGCCTCCTGGAAAAAGAAGGAAAGTTCTAAGTGTCAGGGAGGTACCACACCACCGCTGACCGGGGAGGCAGCAGCCTCAGGCCCCCACCACCCAGCCTCATCATTGTTGAGGTGTCTTGGGTTCTTTCCAGCCCGAAAGTTCTAGAACTTTCTAGGACCCTCTAGAACTTTCTAGGACCCTCTAGAACTTTCTAGGACTTTCTAGAACTTTCTAGGACTTTCTAGAACTAGGCCAGATCCACAGGAAGACGCTCTCTTCCCCAGACACATCACCCGTGCCCCCCTCCAGGCAGAAACACGGGGCACTGCCTGTCACCCCAGCTACTCGGGAGGCTGAGATCTGGAGAATCGTGGTTCAAAGCCAGCCTGGGCAGGAGAAGCCTAGAGAGACTCTTTCTCTCCAAGGCACCAGCAAAATGCAAGAGAGAAATGGCGCTGTGGCTCAAGGGGTAGAAGCCCTCAGCCTTGGGCAGACGATGAATGGAATGGTGCTCAGTTCTGAGTTCGAGCCCCAGGACCAACACCCCCAGCCCCGACAAGCAAAAAGCAGCAGCAGCAGCAACACACAAAAGGGGCATTTTACACCACACACACCCCCCCGCAAAGCCTTCCTAGGAATCTTCCAGCGAGTCTTGCTCATAGTTTCTTCCAAACCACGCAGAGGGACAAACAGATGGACAGACAAGACGTAGTCTGGCCTAGATCCTTCTCCGAGGGGGGGGGGGGGGGTTGGTCTGACTCACCAGAGCTGACTCACCAGTGGCTTCTGTGTGCGTGTGCGTGCGTGCACCCCACAGACTCTGCAGTCTCCTCTACCCTGGCTCCACCTTCTTCCAGACACACACACACACACCCTGGCTTCCCCTACACCCACAATTTCACAGCCCCCCCCTGTACTGATCCCCCTTGAGCCACAGCTCCACTTCCAGCTTTTTTGGTGGTCCGTGGGAGATAAAGGCCTGGCCTTGAACTACGATCCTCCGGATCTCAGCCTCCTGAGTAGCTGGGATGACAGGCGGGAGTCGCTCTGCCAGGCGGGAACCAGTGTTTAACTTCCTCTGAAAAAACCATCACACCTACAATGTGAGAGAGTAATCCAAAGCGTAGCTCAGAGGCCGCCCAGGAACTATGGCCCCCGGGCTGGCGCTGGTGGCTCACGCCTGTCATCAGCTACTCAGGAGGCTGAGATCTGGAGGATCCTGGTTGGAGGCCAACCAACCCAGGGCGGGAGGGAAGTCCGTGAGACTCTGACCTCCCAGGAACCACCAGAAAACCGGAAGTGGGGCCATATATATATGGCTCAAAGTGGGAGCGTGAGTAAAAGAGTTCAGGGACAGCGCCCAGGCCCCGAGTTCAAGACCCAGTATAGGTACACACAAGAAGAGGAGGAAGAGGGTGGGGAGGAGGAGGAGGGAGAGACAGAGACAAGGAAGGAAGGAAGGATGGTCGTGAAGGAATCCAGGAAAAAGTGTCAGACAGTGAGTCAGAGGTGGGGGGGGGGAATGGGCTCCAGGCTCTGGCCTGTGGCTGGCTTCCCGGGGTGAGCACGCCCCCCCCCATCCTGGAGGAAAGAAGAAAAAGAAAATCCATCCCCAGGAGTGGGCGAAGGGAGGTCTCATACCCACTGGGGGCTGGGGGGGCAGACACAGGAAAAAGCCAGAAGTGGCGCTGTGGCTCAAGTGGTAGAGTGCCCGCCTTGAGCAGAAGAGCTGAGGGACAGCGCCCAGGCCCTGAGTTCGAGTCCTAGGACCAGCACCAAACAGAAAAACCAAAAAGAAGTGACCCCAACATCTCTTGTTCATCTTGGCCAGTCTCCCTACCCCCTTGAGAAAGGGCCCCCCCCTTGCCTGGAATCTCAGGAATGTGTCCTTTGACCCCAGAACCTCAGATGACCAAACTCCCCACCCCCCCATTCACTCAAATCTCCTCTCCTGCCCACCCCCCAATACCTGGAGGGGGGCCCCCCATAAATCCAGGTCCTCAAAAGGGAGGTAATAGGGTGAAAAAAGCATCTAGAAGATTCCTTCCTCTTGAAGCCATTAAGAGTTGGAACGGGGGGGGGGGGGGACAGGAAGTGGGGCACGCACCGCTCCCCTCCCCCATTATCTCCTCAGAAGCTAATGGGGGGAGGGAGGCGGAGGGGAGGAGGGGACAGCGCCCCAGCTTCAGCCAGGGCCAGGCCCAAAGAACTGATCTATAACTGATAGGTGAACACACCAGCGTGTACCAAGTAACAGCCCGAGCTTGCTTTATTCATTCATTCATTCATTCATTTACTCATTCAGCAAATATCTTGGGGTAGGGGGTGTACAGGCAGGGGCAACTCCAGGAAAGGGCTCAGGAAGATTTCTAACTAGGGGGTGAAGGGCTAGAGACAACCCCCCCCCTGCAGATTTCCAAAGCCCGAGGACACAGGAGGGGTGACATGGGGGGGGCAACCCCAGGACACAAGAGAAAGGGGTGACTTGCTTGGAGGAGAGGCAGATGGATGGGTGGATGGGTGGATGGATGGATGGATGGATGGATGGATGGATGGATGGATGGATGGGTGGATGGATGGATAGATGGGTGGATGGATGGGGTGGATGGATGGATGGATGGATGAATGGGTGGATGGGTTGATGGGTGGGGGGATGGACGGACATTTGAGAAGGGGGTGTCACGGATTTGAGGTGTCGGGAGAGAGCTGGGAAGGAAGGAGGGGGGACGCTGGCTCCCCTCGGGTGTCAGGAAGTTGTGGGCTGTTGTGTGACTGCCAAGGAGAGCGGTGACTAAGTGTGGTAACTACGGTGTGGGTCATCTCCAGTCCAAGTGCTGAGCTGGGGGTGGGGGGGGAGGAGAGGAAGTTTACCTGCGGGGAGGGGGGAGGGGGCGGCTGGCCCCAGTGACTCACGCTGCTGGTGGCTTGCGGGTGACTATGACTGGGACAAACAGGTGAGTGAGTGCAGGACACAAGCCCTCCCTTTCCTGGAGGGGGGGTGTTCTGTGACTCACCCCCCTACCCTCAGCTCACCCCTCCTGCCCTCCCTTCCTCCATCTATCCATCTGTCCATCTATCCACCCACCTGTCCATCTGTCCATCCATCCATCCCTCCATCTACCCACCCATTCATCTACTCATCCATCCATCCACCGATCCATCCATCTACCCATCCATCCATCCATCTACCCATCCCTCCATCCACTCATCCCTCCATCCACTCATCCATCCATCCACTCATCCATCCACCTACCCATCCATCCATCCATCTACCCATCCATCCATCCATCCATCCATCCACTCATCCATCCATCTACCCATCCATCCATCCATCCATCTATCCATCTATCCACTCATCCATCCATCCACCCATCATCCATCCATCCATCCATCCACCCACCCATCCATCCATCCATCCACCCATCCCTCCATCTACCCATCCATCCATCCATCCACCCATCCATTTATCATCTATCAATCTATCCATCCTTCTATTCATCCATCCCTCCAACCTTCCATCTATCCATCCATCCAGTGATCACCTATCGATCCATTAATCATCTATCCCTCCATCCATTAATCCATTCATCAGGCCCATTAATCCATTCATCCATTAATCCATTCATCAGTCCTCCGTGAATCCTCTAACCATCCATTAAACCCTTCATCCATTGATCATCTTATCTGTCCACGACCCACCCATCCATCAACTCTTCCTCCCCGACCCCCCCTGCGTGGGGATGGGGGGCTAAGGAGAAGGAAGACGTGCGTGTGCGTGCGCACGCTGCCCCCCCCCCAGGAAGGAGAAGTCACCCGTGTCACCTGCTCCGGCCACGCGAGTAACTTTAAAAAAAAAAAAAAAAAAACTTCTCCAGCCACAACTGGGTCAAAAGGGAGGCAAGCACGCGCGCATGCGCGCACACACCTCCCCGGGGCGCAGCCCGGACCCCCGCCCGCCCCCCCCACACACCTCGCAGGCGGATCTGGGGGTACGGGTGAGGAGGAGGGGGTGTCCCTGTCAAAACTGGGGCGGGGAGGGGGAGGGGAGGCGAGCCCCTCCCCCACACCCCTCCCCCTCACCTTAGAGGCGGAACCCCGGGCGCCCCAATCCCTCCCGTGGCGCAGCAGCGGGGTGCGGGGTCAGAGGTCAGGGGTCAGGGAGGTGTGGGGGGGGGAAGAGGCCCCCGCGATGCAGCCCCCTCCCCCCGCCAACACTCGGGGTGCCCGGGGCTCACCTGCGATCGGAGCGTCCGCCGTGGTGTCCCCCCCCTCCACGGCTCTCCCCGGGCTCCAAGGACGCGCGCTCGGTGCTGTCCCGGCTCCCGGCTACGTCCGCCCGGCTCGGCGGCGGCGGGAGACTGGCCGTGCTCGGCTCCGCCCGCCGCGCCGCCTCCGCCGGCAGTGGAAAACTCCGGGGCTCCGCGGGACTGACTCACGGCCGGGCCTCCCGCCAGGCCGGGTCCCCTCCGCAGCCCCGCCCCGCCCGCGCGGCCACGCCCCCCGGCGCGGCTCATAGGCCCGCGGCCCGGAGGCCACGCCTCCATGAGCCGCGACCATTGGCCTGTCGGCCCCAGGGCCACGCCTCTCCTCAGGCAAGCCACGCCTCCTCATTCCGGCCATTCCCGCCCCCCCGATGCCACGCCCCTCCCTCCTCCAGTCACGCCCCTCCAGAAAACCCATTACGTAGCCCGGGAAGCCACGCCCCTTTCTCTTTCCAGCCCCTCTCGCTACACGCCCCGTGGTCCCTCTAGCCACGCCCCTCGGACCAGCCCATTGGCCCTAGCCCCAGGAAGCCCCCTGGAGGCCACGCCCCATCCCATCAGGCCACGCCCACTTTCCGTCTCCCGCCCTCCTCGCCCGGCGCCGGCTCCTGGTGGACTCTGACCCCCAGGGTCCAGCCCCGACCCCGAGCCCTGCCCCCCAAACCCCAACCGCACCCCGGTCTGCTGCGACCTCGCTTAGTACCGGACCGTCCCAGTGCCGACCCCCGTGTTTTCAATGG